CAGCCATATGCTCAGTGTTACATCATAGGCAACTGAAGAGCAAGTGAGGGCTGGGGAATCAAACTCACAATTTATATTGGCTACTGACCATCTCCAGAAAGGTAAGTACCAAACAGCTCATGGAGCACATTTTGATAGGATTTTTTTTCAGTCCAAAAATTTAGACCAGTTCTAATGCACCATAAGCATTTATAAGGCCATCCTGTCCTTTACGCCACTCTGGCAACATGAAGGAGCCTTAAAACTTTTACACCTGTTTTATACTTCTGGGGGAATTCATAAAGACATTGGAAGCAATGCACTAAGCAGGCAGGCTGCTGCATTCTGCTCTGCCCCATGCCTACCTCCTCAGAAACACCCCAAAGCCCTGCCTCTCCACGCCAAGCATGCTGCAATAACAAGCAAGAGGGACAGAGTGTCTCTCTCCCTTTCACACGCACGACTGCCCAGCTCCCTCCCCCCCATCCCAGTGGTGATTTATGTCTTTACTGGCTGCTCCGGGTGCCCAAACCAACCAGCCTGCGCTGCCAGTGAGGGGCACGTGACCGATCTTGTGAGCTTCCCTTTGCTTCCACACCAGAAATCATTTTTCTGCGGGGAAGCAAAGATATCTGCAGGGAACGTGAATTCTGCGCATATGCAGTGACAGAGAATTCCCCCAAGAGTATAAGCAAAACCACTTCAGGATTCCTTTAAGAAACATAGAATAAACCCATTTCTCAGAAATGCCGGATCAGGCCAAATGTTCCCTTAACTATGTGACACACATTAGTTATATTAAAGACTATTCTGTACTGAATTAGAGGGCATCGTACTCCGCACAACCCATCAATCAAAAAGCAAAACTATGCCTCTGTAATTATAGCTGAAGTTGGAGCCCTAGAGATTAGCTTACATTCCATTTCTCCTTTATGCATATTACTCTCATATAGAGTGATGCAAACACATATGAGAATTTCCTGTGAATTCTTCCATCATGGGGAAAAAGAATTTGAACCCCACAAAAGGGGGCCAGGAGTCCATCTACCAAACCTCCATCTACCCAAAGCAAACTGGGGGCAAGCAGCAGTTAGTCTGTCGGCAGATGAGTTGGGGAGAGACTTGTTTTGATAGCAAAAATGCAGCAGATGTTTTCTTTATCAGGGAGTACTCAAATTCTGCTTGGACAGGAAGTCACAAACCATCCTGCCCCAGAGCGGTCTGAAATTTGAGATACCAAGTCTGATTTTTTTTCTTTAAATATACAAACTCATGGATGCTGTCAAAGAAAGGCAGGTGCAGGATCAAGTTACAGTAATGGTTAACGATCAACAATGCTAGGAAAATCAAAGAGCAATGGGTGTGTCGGATTCTGAAAATGAGAACAGTAGAGATTTGAAAAGGCATTGCAACGCCATCCATTTTAAAGAAACCAAAATGTACATAACTAGGGAGGAAGAGGTGGAGAAAGGAAAAAATGGTTCAAACATATCTGTATTAAGTATCCCTGTATTTCCATATTTAATTCGTGGATGTTTAAACTGTGGAACTTCCTCTTTCGAGGCTGCACTCAGTTCTGGATCAAGCTTTCAAAACCCAGGCAGTATGGACAGTAGGAGACCGGAGAAGCATGTTGGAAGCTGTCCTACCTTAGGTGATATTTAGTCATTGAGCAACACTCCAGTACACTTTCTTGTTCCTCAGATCTGTGTCCAAGGGGACAAACAAAGGGAGAGGTGTAATATCCTAACTGAAGCTCAGTTTAAAATGGCCGTAATATGATCCATATGTGCCAGAGACAAGAGTTCAGGTCCTGAGCTTAGTGTTGTGCTAGCTTTTTATTGGTCATAAGTGAATATGACTCAGTGTTGGGAATGGAATCCTGTATAGGACCAGAAGAACTGAAAGAGTGCCTGCTGCCCTGCATCCCAGTATCGTTTGGTGATGCTGAACTTCATCGAGTGTAATCTAGAAAGTATGTGAGGCAGGGCCTTCTTCATCTGGGGAACCACACCTCTGAAATTCATAGATTCCAAGGCCAGGAGGGACCTTTGTGATCATCTAGTCTGATCTCGTGTATAACACAGACCATAAACTCCCCCAGAGAAATGCCTAGTGCAGATCTTTTAGAAAAAACTCCAAACTTGATTTTAAAATTGCCAGTGATGGGGAATCCACCATGACCATTGATAAATTATCCCTTCAATCTTCACCACAATGCATTGGCAGTATTTCTGTGAGAGAGTCTGAAGATTTCTGTGTATCCTGTTTAGTATGCTATTTATTGTAGAGTTGGTTTAGTGTGTTTATTCATGTGTCTGTCTGTATCTCCTCTACATGATACATGGGGTGAAAACTGAAATAACTGAAAATTAAATTTCACTTTGTGCTGATTTAGAATATTAAATAAAATTTACTGCATACTATTTATATATAATTACATGGAGCTCCTGCTTCCTTCTATGGAAAAAGTAGTAAAGGCTTGTCTGCACAAGAAAGCTGTACCAGTTATACCTGTACTGCTATTCCCATATGGAAGGTGAATAACTATACTGGTGTAAGGCATCAATATATAACTTAATACCAATAAGTATAATGGTATAACTTTCAAGTGTAGCCCAGGCCTAAAAGTGATTCCAGTTTAAACTAAGAAAGCCTAAGATGTTAGTATATTATATGTGAATCCAAGAGACAGTTGCTTTTTTATGTTGGGAGTGCTCAGTCTGCTAATTCCAGGCCTTTGAATAGTTTGGACAAGTTGCCCGTTTATGCTAATTATGTTTTAAATATTTTTGTTACAGCATCTATTACTATTTTTACTTGTATTTCAGTATCACTCAATAGGATCACAGACCCACTGTGCTTAGTACTATACGAGACAGTCCTTACTCCAAAGAGCTTACACTCACCTCTGAAATAAGATGCAATGAGTAAGGATAACAAACAATGCACGGGAAGGGAGAAGGCAGGTTGAGGCTAATGGTAATGCAGTCATATGGTTCTACAGGATACCTCGGGGCACAACTTGAGGCTTACAAATAATATGAAAATATTCTTCCTTTACTAAATCAATAAAACCAGCTCTCTTCAACTGCCATTAAACCTACCCATCCTGTAGATGTCACAACAGAAGTGGGTCTTAAGGAGGGATCAGAAGGATGAGAGGGTGATAGACTAGATCAGGGAGGATGTCCCAAGAATAAGGGGCAATGTGGAAGAAAGAACAGGCACAATGTGGGAGAGGTGGACAAAGCTACCATAGTTAGCAAGGGGAGAGGGCAACGTTATAAGTAAAGCTGTGAGTCTGTCACGGAAGTCATGGATTCCATGACTTTCTGGGATCTCCATAACTTCTGCAGCAGCCGGTGCGACTGACCCCAGAGCCACCCGAGCAGCTCAGGCGGTTCCCAGGCCAGCCGCCCTGGCCGCTGCTGGGGAAAACCTGGCCTCCCAGCCACCAGCGGTGGTCTCAGGCTGTGCTCCTTCCCCCCCTCCCCAGCACCAGTGGCTGTCCCAGGCTGTGTGCTGCTGCCCCCCCCAAGCACCAGCAGAGGTCCCAGGCTGCACACCGCCGCCGCCTCCTCCCCCACCCCTGAGCACCAGCAGCACCCCCAGGCCACCCCATGCCCCAGAGCACCGGCAGCACCCCCAGTGCCCCCTTTCCAGAGCACCCAAGATTTAGTCAGGCATATATAGTACAAGTCATGGACAGGTCAGGGGCCGTGAATTTTTGTTTACTGCCTGTGACCTGTCCATGACTTTTACTAAAAATACCCATGACTAAATCTTAGCCTTAATTGTAAGTCATGAACAGGCAAGTTGTAAAGGGTAGCAAAAGTGAGGACAGGAAGCTTAGATGTGTGATGCTGTGACAGTTAGCAGAGGGATGCTAAGTGAGGCCTGACAGGATAAGAGCAATAGGCCAGCAGGGTGACTTTAACAGCTGCATTTTAAATGGACTGGACAAGGCTGAACAGGTGCAGAGGGAGTTACAAGCAATGCACTCAGGTGATGGGAGAAGGAATGCTTGAATATTATAGTCTATCCAGTGCTTGGTACAGTGCTGCATATAGCTATCCTCAACTGGAGGAAGAGGAGCTTCAGTGCAAGGCCAGAGAAGTTGGAAGAGAGAAAAAGAAAAGATAATTTAAACAGAGAGAGTGAAACTAAGCCTTGAGTTTTCAGCATTTATTTGTAAAATCAATTTGGGCTGTGGGAGGAGAGGCGGTGGTCAAACAAATGTCACCCTGTAAAGTTCAATTTTGCCAGGCAACTTTTCCCGCAAGTCCCTGCCCTGTGAGTGGATGGACAGTGCTCTGAAGTGACTAGAGCCACTGGAGAACGGCTTGAGAAAGCCCTGTCACTCAGCTGGGAGTCTGCAAACCTCCCCAGAGATCTCTTGGTATGGAGAAATTTGCAAGCTCTGCATAATGCCTGCAGCACTTGAGTTAATTCTCACTCCTGACCAATGCCACACAACCCTTCACGCCTGGCCTTAGCTCGGGTTTCCGTTACAAAAACACAAAGAGAAAGTAAGATTGAAACTTTTGTCTCTAAAGCTTCTTCCCGGCTCTTTTTCTGCTGAAATAATGCTGTCCCTACTATACAGTGATGCAACGGGACCTCCCCTCTGCCACGTTATCAGCGCTTGATGGGGCGGGGGACACGCCTCCTCTGTCCTCTCTCTCCCTGTGGCAGTAAGTGAGGTTCCGAGGCTTGGAAAGCCTATATTTCCTTACACTAGGGGCTGTTGCAACATGGGTGTAAGCCACAGAAATCAAGGGCATTTCCCTCTCCAGTAAAAGCTCGTGTAGTTTCAAGAGCTCGCGCTCAGCCAGCCTACAATTACAGAAGCACTTTCAGGTTCTTGCTGGTGCAACGCCCTATTATTATTTCGATACACGCATTTCACTTCCACTTGTTTAAAAAAAGTTATTCATTAAACTACTGCGGCGGCAGGGTCCCTGTAATGCATCTCCTTGGAGAGGCCGTTCCCTTCCACTCCTAGGAGCCCATCTTACCCTAGTTTCTCTTTGCTTTCTTCTGGGGTGAGCTGATCGAAAGTCTTGGCTTCCTCCTTGCCCAGAAAAGCCTCGTGGTCATACTGGAAGCTTTGGTTATCTTCGTGCAGCTGATCGCTGAGCTGAGGGTCTGGATGAACGACCCTCTCCTTTCTGAGAGTGGGTTTGCTGAGTGACCCTCCTGTGCAAAGCAGCAGCACGAAACAGCAGGCAGCCTGGAAGCCCATTCTCTGATCCGCCACAGCCCGGGGGAAAGAAAGGGAGAGAAAGTGCTACATGAGTTTGTTACAAATAAGGAATCAGGGGAGAAGAAATGTCAACTTATGACACATGGATCAAGTCATCCAACGTGCTGCATCACCTCCAAAAGCACCCGCACGCGTCGGACCTCTAGCACCGGTCCCTACATGCAGCAGCTGAGCCTGGTACCTTTCAGCTCCCAAGCACACACACTCCCACTCCCCACATCTGGACAGACGGCGAGCGTGGAGCTGTACTTCACCACCAGCACCCCTTGCCACATACCAGCTGTTGCTCAGAGTCTATCGCCCAGGCAGCCCTAGGAATGCAGCTGCAAATTGCAAATGACCCACTGCGGGCTGGGATCACAAACCTCTCAGCCTTCCTCCCCAACCAGTCACGTGAGAGGTTGCAAGGAAAGGTTGCTCTGTCACCAGACGGTACAGCGCTTGCTATTGGGCAGGGGAGGCTGTGTGCCTGCTGGAGGAGGCTGGATCGCCACGTTTGCAGGGCGGCTCGGGTTTCCCCACTGAGGCGGCAAAGAGCGCTGGATTTGAGCTGCAGGGTGTAAGGTTTCCGTTGGGGAGTTCCCGGCTCCAGCCTAGGAACAGCTCAGTTGCTCTGCATAAAACAGAGGAAGTTTAACACCCGGGGGCTTTTTAAACTTGTTCTCACTCACCAAACACTCTAAAGTTTGCAGCCACACAGTGACACCCGAAAGCGAACGAGGTGTCCTACAAACCCGCTGGATTGTTGTGTGACCCTGGCAAGCTGCCAAAGATGAGAGCTAATTGCAGATCCTCCCGGACTGCAACAGGAACCTTCTCTGCAGCTCGTACCGCAACAGCCCGTCATACCACAAATCTCGTCAATCTACAGGGCGATCCCTCATGTGGGATCAGTTTAAAGCAGGTGAAGCCTTTTGCTGTGTATTGAAGGGACGTTTAAATTCTCAGTCTGAGCCAGCCGCCTGGCTGATTCTTCTGACTGCTGCAGGAGTTAATGTTCTCTGCAGCCTCACAGCTAGCCCTGGAGACCGTCCCGGGCCTGCTGCAGCGAGGCACTGATTACCGGTGAGTTTGGAGTTCTCTCCTGGGGTGGTGTGACAAACAACCCAGCACCACAGAGTTGGGCTGGGCTGTTTCATCTTTTATTTGTGTATTTATTACTGTGCCTTTACCATATACATCAAATAAATAAAAGTCCTGGTCATTATTTTCCTTTCCTGTCACTTTAAACCTGTTGCACCCTCCCTCCCCATTCATTTGAATCTGTCCACTGGTAACCCCATTTTCAACACATCAACTTCAACCTTCTTGTCTCCATTTTCCAAGCCCTGCCCTGCTTCTTTGCCCCATTTAATTTAATGTCACCTCCCACTACTGGTCAGCATGTTACGCAGTAGCCTAACCATTGCTGAGTTTTTTGTAGGCATCATGAGAGAGAGGGGTGTTTTTAGGAGGTATTTTAAAAAAACATTTTATTTTTATATAAAACATAAATACATTTCCAAATAGATGGAAATAGTTTGCAAATAATGAAATTCAACTAAGTTATTTCAAGGAGATGGCTTTGCAGAGAGCATCTCCCTTCAATAAAGGGTGGACATAGGAAAGAGTGCAAAGATGCTCCTTTGTAAAGTTTACAAATGGGCAGTCAGGACTGCTATCATTGGTGGAATGGAGGCAGAGGTGACATCTCAGTAGTGTATGAGGGCATGTCTACACAGCAACCACAGGGTGTGACTGCAGCTTGAATAGACATACCCAAGCTAGCTTCAATCTAGGTTGTGTACCAGAGCAGTGAAGCCATGGCATCACAGGCTTCAGTGAGGGTTAGCCACCTCAGTAATTATCCAGAGTTCTTGCTGGGCTTGTACAGCTCATGCTGAGACCCATGCAAGCTAGATTAAAGCTAGCTCAGGTATGTCCACACAAGCTGCAGTCACACCTTGTGATTTCAGTATAGACCAGGGGTCAGCAACCTTTCAGAAGTGGTGTGCCGAGTCTTCTTTTATTCACTCTAATTTAAGGTTTAGCGTGCCGGTAATACATTTAACGTTTTTAGACTTTCTCTAAGTCTATAATATATAACTAAACTATTGTTGTATGTAAAGTAAATAAGGTTTTTTTTAAATGTTTAAGAAGCTTCATTTAAAATTAAATTAAAATGCAGAGCCTCCAGGACCCGGGCAGTGTGGGTGCCACTGAAAATCAGCTTGCGTGCCGCAGGTTGCCTACCCCGGTGTAGACACACTTAAAGAGTGTGCTGCATCCAAGGGTGCTAAAGGAGTTGGCGGATGTGATTGCAGAGCCATTGGCCATTATCTTTGAAAACTTGTGGCGATGCGGGGAGGGCCTTGATGACTGGAAAAAGGCTAATGTAGTGCCCATCTTTAAAAAAGGGAAGAAGGAGGATCTGGGGAACTACAGGCCTCTCAGCCTCACCTCAGTCCCTGGAAAAATCATGGAGCAGGTCCTCAAGGAATCAATTTTGAAGCACTTTGAGGAGAGGAAAGTGATCCGGAACAGTCAGCATGAATTCACCAAGGGCAAGTCATGCCTGACTAACCTAATTGCCTTCTGTGAGGAGATAACTGGCTCTGTGGATGAGGGGAAAGCAGTGGACTTTACCTGACTTTAGCAAAGCTTTTGATACTGTCTCCCACAGTCTTCTTGCCAGCAAGTTAAAGAAGTATGGGCTGGATGAATGGACTATAGGGTGGATAGAAAGCTGGCTGGATCGTCGGGCTCAACAGGTAGTGATCAATGGCTCCATGTCTAGTTGGCAGCCGGTATCAAGCGGCTTGCCCCAAGGGTCGGTCCTGGGGCCGGTTTTGTTCAATATCTTCATTAATGATCTGGAGGATGGCATGGATTGCACCCTCAGCAAGTTTGCAGATGACACTAAACTGGGAGGAGTGGTAGATACACTGGAGGGTAGGGATAGGATACAGAGGGACCTAGACAAATTAGGGGATTGGACCAAAAGAAATCTGATGAGGTTCAACAAGGACAAGTGCAGAGTCCTGCACTTAGGACAGAAGAATTCCATGAACTGCTACAGACTAGGGACCGAATGGCTAGGCAGCAGTTCTGCAGAAAAGGTCGTAGGGGTTACAGTGAACGAGAAGCTAGATATGAGTCAACAGTATGCCCTTGTTGCCAAGAAGGCTAACGGCATTTTGGGCTGTATAAGTAGGAGCCTTGCCAGCAGATCAAGGGATGTGATCATTCCCCCTCTATTTGGCATTGGTGAGACCTCATCTGGAGTACTGTGTCCAGGTTTGGGCCCCACACTACAAGAAGGATGTGGAAAAATTGGAAAGAGTCCAGCAGAGGGCAACAAAAATGATTAGGGGGCTGGAGCACATGACCTATGAAGAGAGGCTGAGGGAACTGGGATTATTTAGTCTGCAGAAGAGAAGAATGAGGGGGGATTTGATAGCTGCTTTCAACTACCCGAAAGGGTTCCAGAGAGGATGGATCTAGACTGTTCTCAATAGTAGAAGATGACAGAACAAGGAGCAATGGTCTCAAGTTGCAGTGGGGGAGTTTTAGGTTGGATATTAGGAAAAACCACTAGGAGGGTGGTGAAGCACTGGAATGGGTTACCTAGGGAGGTGGTGGAATCTCCTTCCTTAGAGGTTTTAAGGTCAGGCTTGACAAAGCCCTGGCTGGGATGATTTAGTTGGGGATTGGTCCTGCTTGAGCAGGGGGTTGGACTGGATGACCTCCTGAGGTCCCTTCCAACCCTGTTATTCTATAATAGGTAGGGTAGGGTTAGGGGCAAGTGTAGACATACCCTAAAGGGGCAGACCACCCCATTACAATGTTCCTGATTTCTCTTTCTTTAGAGAGAGAAAAAAACACCACTGAAATGTCTCAGAAGTTCTCCTTGTATAACTCAGAGCCTGAAGTGAAAAGACAGCCGTCAGGATCACAGAAGGGAAACAGGCAGAGGAAAGAGGGATCTATCACTGATATTACATAGGAGGAAATGTAGGACTTCCCAGAGGCACATTGTTATGGACTCACAGGTCGTGCCCACTCTTGGCCCCATGCAGTCCCTGTGGGGAAGCCCCTTCAGTGAGACAGCGCTTTTTGGGGGACCACTCTCTCTCTGGGGTTAAGCCCATCCACCTCCTGGAACCACACCTCTCTGAGCCTTAACACTCCTGTCTCTTGCCATGGGCCCCCTCAGGGAGTCCACTTGCTCTGGACCCCCGGGGCCTCCACTTGCAAAGGGAATAATGCAGCCCTGATCTCTAGACCGGAGTGACTCTCAGCCAGCGTAAAACAGGAGGGTTCATTGAGTGTCTGAACACAACATAGGAAACTCTCAGGGTCCTCAGGCCTGGCCTCCCTCACCGCAGCACATCCAAAGTCTCCCCTGCATTCAGGTGGGCTCTGCCTGTTCTCTCTCTCTCTCCAGTTCCAAGCCCCCAGCTGGGCATCTGATATCACCGGCCCCAAGCCCCGCCTCTGTCCATTGTGTTCTGTCCGGGTAAACAGGGTCGCCTGGGCTGCCTCTCCTCTCTTCTTCTGTCCTCTGGTCCCCTCTGGCTGGTCAGGTCACCGGGGTCCTCTTCACAGCCCATTGTCCTCCCACTGGCCAGAATCGGCTGTGACTCCTGAGCTGGGCCTCCCGCTCACCAGTCGCTGGGGTATCCATTCTCCAGGCCATTGGCTGGGGTCCCAAGTTCTGGTGCCGGTTCTGTGTAACAACAAACTCTCTCCCATCACCTCGTTAAACAAGTAACACCCAGGGAAACTGAGTCCCACCCCCTCTATTGGAAAAAACAAGGTAAAAACAAGAAACCCCCCCCCACTTCATCACATACTGTATTCCTTCACATTGAGACACTGGTCACTGTAGACAGAGTTGAACCTTGCTAGTACTCTATTATAGCCCTACACATTATCGTTCTTTTTGTTGATACTTGGAATTGACCATCAGAACTATTTCAAATTCCCTTAGTGGGACAGAGACCCATTTAGTTTTATGTTTGAAATATCTGGCTTTAAGTGCAGTTCATATGATACATGAATCACATTTATGATATTCTAACTGGTATATACACAGTAATTCTGTATGTATAGTATTTTTTTATGGGGCTTACTAATAATGGAACCTGGGCTTACACCAACATGCTCTTGTTTCTGTATTATTTATTTGGGAGAAGTGTGGAGATCCGGGACCTGAGCCTGTACACTGGCATAAATCAGTTCGAACCAATCCTCCGGTCCGGCTGAACTGCACTCAGCAGAGTATCTGAGTGGGGGCAAGGGCAAAAAGCTAGCTTTAAGCGGGCTCCTCGGTTCTGAGGACAGATAGATCAGTCTATGGTGTAAGTCAGAGCAATATTAGGGCTTCTCTAACTTATGCCAAATACTAATGGCCCCTAAGGACTGTTAATCAGTCAGGGGATACCAGAGT